TAGACCAAAACCAAACCAAACTAATAGTCATCGAGTGGATTCTGACTCACGGTGATCCCCATTGTGTTTCCAAGGCTGTAAATCTTTACAGAAGTAGATTGCCCCACCCCATCTTCCTCCTGGGGAGTGGTTGGTGAGTTTGAACCACCATCCTTCTGGTTAACAGTCAAATGCCTTAGGCACTGTACCACCAGAACTCCTCAGCAAGTTGCTTAAATAATTTCTAAAAAGTGTTCCTGAAAACAGCCTGCAATTTAGAGGTTTAGTTCCTTTGCTTCATTTTTTCCTTTATCTCAATAAAGTAATCTCTTCATAATCAATAAAATCAAGCACTCAACTATGCTCCCCACCACTTGTCTGTCAGTTTGTCATACTGTAGTGGCTTGTGTGTTGCTGTAAGGCTGGAGGCTATGCCACCAGTATTTCAAATGCCAGCAGGATTACCCATGGTGGACAAGTTTCAGCAGTGCTTCCAGACTCAGACAGACTCAGAAGGAAGGGGCCATCCACATCTCAAAGAATTAGCCAGGGAAAACTTTATGAATAGCAGTGAAACACTGTCATACTATTGAAAAACTTCATGACTAGCTCTGAAACACTGTCCTATATTATGTTGGAAGATGAGACCCTCAGGTCAGAAGGCACTCAAATATGACTGATGAAGAGCTGCCCCCTAGGGTAGAGTCAACCTTAATGATGTGGATGGAGTAAAGCTTTCAGGACCTCCGTTGGCCGACATGGCACTAGTCAAAATAAGAAACAGCTGCAAAGATCCATTAATAATCAGAACATGGAATGTAAGAAGTATGAATCTAGGAAAATTGGAAATTGTCAAAAATGAAATGGAACACAAAGATTGATATCCTAGGCATTATTGACCTGAAATGGACTGGTTTGGGCCATTCTGAATCAGACAACCATATGATCTACTATGCCAGGAATGACAAATTGAAGAGGAATGGCAGTCATCATCCCAAAGAATGTTGCAAGATCTATCCTGAAGTACAATGCTGTCAGCGACAGGATAATATCCATATACTTACAAGGAAGACAAGGAGCTCTGGTACCATGATGCCTAAGGCACTTGCCTGCTAACTAGAAAGCTGGCAGTTCAAACCCACCAGCCTCTCCTCGGAAGGAAGGTTGGGCAATCTACTTCTGTAGTAAT